ATTCACTGAATAGCATATTTGTTAAGAATTATTTGCTCAGCATCTTACTAAACTCCCTTCCTGTTGGCTGCAGTATATGATGTTTGGTCGTATGCCAATGCCCTGAGAAAGGGCAGATATATGGTCCTCTCTGGACTCACGGGCTACAGTAAAGCGGCAGCTGTTGAGGAAAAGAAATTTCACAGTAAGTGTGTGATCCTTACGAAATCGCATTGCTCACATTTTTTAAAAGTTTCATCAACACGGAAGCAGCAACATTTTTCAAGCCGTATGGTCCTGTGAGTGCATCATCTGAACTTTATCATTTTGCCTGTTTCCAGATTCCTGGCAAAATGAATATTTACTAATAGATTGAGAAGGGACTTAAATGAAACCCTTTCATATGGTAATGATTATTTTTGGCAAGCCGTTAAATGTGGCAGTTCTGCAAGCCAGTGAACTAATATTGGGAAGAAAGGCGTATAGAATCCCAAGTCCTCCTGCAGTTTGGCATCTGCGCCAAACTCCCCTCTCTTCTGTTTATTTATTTTTTATCTAAAGGCCTATTGGCTTCAAACTGTGATGCAATTAAACTTCTATTGGAAGTCAAATGGGAAGCTTCTTAATGGTTCTAAATTTGTTTTATAAGGATGCGGGATATGAATTGTCCCTTGTAATGTGCAACAGATTTATTTAGCAGGCTTACGAAAATAGAGAGAAGCAGCTGTAAATCATTTGACTTGTAGCTGCTCATGAGACCGAGGGGTATAATTTATTTACTGATGAGTCAAGAAACAAAGCAGAAGAGCTACAATCTATAAAGTCATGATCCCCCTTTTTTAGGCTTCCGGAGTGACAAGCCTGTAGCCGACAACTGTACCATATTAACAGGAGTTAGTTTGCTGGTGGCTTTGTTCAATTTATTACTATTCTCACTTGCTGTACTTCTGAAGGCTTGAAAAACGTTATGGCTGCTTATTTTAAAAAGATATTTGGCCTGAGATTAAGTAGCTGGCATGCTTACCTGTAGAACAAGATGATTTTTGCTACACCTTTTACAGCAGCAGCAATCCATTTGAGGGGGGGCAGAAGGTGAAATTCAACCCCTTCTGTCTCAGAACAGATGGTTACCGGCACTGTCAGAGCAAACAGCAATGACCAGCTTGACTGGGAGCTGTCCACAACACCGTTATCAAAAGGCACTGTGATATATCCAGAGCCCGGGTACATCCTGGAACTAGAGTAATAATCAGCTTTATTTGTTGTTTTTCTGAGTATTCAGCATATGGTTAAAAAAATGCATGATAAGAACTCTGGGCGATAGGCACGCATAACATTCATAATGACATTATTTGCCACCGTGCACATAGCAACCTCAATACCTGCAATCTAACACTTGGTTTGTGTTCAGTTTCTTGAGCATGGTCACACTTAATCCTACAGACTTGACACTTCAAATGTCCAGAGCAAACACTTGGCTCTCATGGTTGTTATTCTCTTGCAAATATAACATTTTATGTGTGTTTTAAGTGCATTATTCAAATGCGACACTAGATGGCAATGGTGAGCTTATGGCAAATTATATATATATATATATATATATATATATATATATATATATATGCTGTGCTGGTCCCAGGGAGTTACCGTGCAACGTGGTCTAAGTTCAGTCCTAGGTCAAGTGTGTGGAGGCTGTCTGTCAGGGTCGAAGCGAGGTCCAAAGTGAGGAGTCGGGCATGGTCAGGAACTCTGGCAGGAGAGCAGGTCAGGGTGCCGGCAGGAACAGGGTACCAACGATGTTGCTCCCGCAACCTGGGACTGGGCTGGCTGGCCTTTATCTCCTCTGAGGCATAGGGCGGCCCTGGTCCACAGGTGACTGTCCTCTCCTGGCCTGGAGGTGAGCACTCCTCCTGTGAGAACTTAGTTCCCTCCGCCTCTCTGCCCTGAGCCTCTGCAGCTCCGGAGAGGCTGGAGGGTTACTGGACCCAGAGGCAACCTCACCTTCCCCTGACAGGGCTGAGGGCTGAGAGAGGCACACCTGCAGGCAATGGGTCCTCAATCACCTCCAGAGCCAGAGCAGATTCACCTGGTGTCTGCTCCTGAGGATCCGGCACAGGTGAGGGCCCTTCAAGTTCAAGTCTGTGCAGGCTGGGATTCCTCAGGTTCAGCCTCTGAATCTGATTTCCAGGCCATCACAAAAGCATTTCCACAGCGTTATTTATATATGTCTAGATTCCACCTTGGTTTCAATTCTGGTTGTGGTTCTTCCTGCTAATGCTGGGTAGTTATGATACTTGCTTGCAACTTGACCAGCAAAGCAATAAGCCATGTGACCCAATCAATAAGTACTAGTCTGCAGGCCATATTCTTTCTCTCACTTTTGCTGCTCGATAGGGCGAATGCAAACTATTATTTATCTATTAGGAGCACCATTTAAAAAATAGAATCCCTTAGCTAGGTTACATATGTGGTAGAGATCAGCCAAGTCATTCCTGTATGATGTTTAACACAGAAACTCGTGAAAATCTTTTTCTTCCTATACAGTCGTACCTTGGAAGTCGAAAACCTTGCAAGTCGAACATTTTGACTCCTGAATGCCGCAAACCCGGAAGTGAGGGTTCCAATTTGCAAACGTTCTTCGGAACCCGAATGTCTGACACGGGTTCTGCGGGTTCCGATTGGCCGCAGGAGCTTCTTGCAGCCAATCAGAAACTGTGTCTTGGTTTCCGAACATTTTGGAAGTCAAACGAACTTCTGGAATGGATTCTGTTTGACTTCCAAGGTACAACTGTAACGTAAAAACAATAGGAAAGTTCAGAGGAAACGCCTCCTCTACTGAAAAAAACACAAAAGGGAAGCACTGCCCAACCTTGGTGATAACAGAATAAGTAAGGAGGATGTTTCAGTCCAAACTAGGAAGAGAGGTGGTAAGGGAACACCTAGCTACTTTAAATGAATTCGAATCCAGGGCCTGATGAGCTGTACCCAAGGGTACTAGAGAAGCTTGCGGGTGTAATCTCACAGCCTCTGTCTATGATGTTTGAGAATTTTTGGAGAACAGATGAGGTCCCTAAGGACTGGAAGCAGGCAAATGTTGTCCCCATTTTTGAACGGGGGGGGGGGGGGATGAAGATCCAGGTAACTACTACTAACCAGTTAGCTTATTGTCAATACCAGGGATGGTCCTACAACAGATAATTAAAATGTGAGCACTTAGAAAAGGATGCTGTGATTACTAAGACCCAGCATGGGTTTCTCAAAAATGAGTCATGCCAGACCTATCTCCTTTCTTTCCTTTTTTTAATAGTGTTACAAGATTGATGGATCAGGAGAATGCTGTGAAAGTAGTGTATCTTGATTTCAGCAAGGTTTTTTTGACAAATTCCCCCATGATATTCTTTCAAGGAAGCTAGTAAAATGTGGGTTGAATGAGGTAACTGTTAGGCGGATTTGTAGCTGGTTGAGTGGTTGTAGCGGGTACAGGTGAAAAGGATCTAGGGATCTTAGTAGATGACAACATAAGTCAACGGTGTGATGCAGCAGCAAAAAAGCCAATGCTCTTCTTGGCTGCATCAACAGAAGTCTAGTGTCTAGATCAAGGGAAGTAATAGTCCCACTCTATTCTGCTTTGGTCAGACCACAACTGAAATACTGTGTCCAATTCTGGGCACCACAATTTAAGAAGCATGTAGACAAGCTGGAATGTGTGCAGAGGAGGGCAACCAAGATGATTAAGGGTCTGAAAACTAAGCCTTATGAGGTACGGGTGAAGGAGCTGGGTATGTTTAGCCAGGAAAAGAGGAGACTGAAAGGAGATATGATAGCCATCTTCAAATATCCCAAGGGCTGTCACATGGAAGATGGAGCAAGCTTGTTTTCTTCTCCTCTGGAGGGTGGGACTCAAACCCATGGCTTCAAGTTATAAGAAAAGTGATTCAAACTCAACATCAGAAATAACTTTCTGACAGTAAGAGATGTTAGATGGTGGAATGGTCTTCTTCAGGAGGTTGTGGACTCTCCTTCCTTGGAGATTGTAAAACAGAGGTTGGGTAGCCATCTACCATGTATGATCTAGCTGAGATCCCTGCATTGCAGGAGATTGGACTAGATGACCCTTGGGGTCCCATCCAACTCCACAGTTCTATGATTCTATGGTTAGTTGTGGCTATTAATTTCAGTGGATTTATTCTGAATATGACTAACATTAGATACAACTTGTTATAATTGGAAAAGGGAGAGGAGTTTGCTTAATTTTATGATGCTTTTGCAGTTCAGAAACAACTGTTACTCAGTACTCTAGACTTTACATGCTGCTGTCATTTATAATTAAGCTGGATGTTCCAGTGTGGGTGGGTGGATTAAGCAAGAGTAAAAGAACATAAAATTGCCTCTTATATTTATCAGGCATTGAAACAGCTGGTTTAGACTGTTGTGGTGCTCTAAAGGGGCTAGACGGATTTCAAAAGCCAAAAAGCTTATAAGACGTGGTGTTAGTTTCAGGATCTTCTTTCAGTGAGAAATTCACGTGGTATGTGTTTAAAAAGTCTTTCCTCTTATCTCTTTTTCATCTTACATCACACTTTCCATTTACAAGAACTTCAAAGGAACCACCACCAATATTCTGCAAAGGTGTAGAATCAAATCCCATTTAAGCTGTTTGGGGTTTTTTGGACAAATGTGTTTGTGTATCTGGCAGCATGGAAAAGAAAGGACAGCTCAAACTGCATGGCTTTTTTAAGCCACTGAACGGTTTTGGTTTTTTCCTTGCACCATGACTGGTGCCCCCTTCACATGTATCACATATGAAGGGAAACCTTTGCATCTTGAGGTGGCAGTGAGGCTGTGTCCCTGGTCTCACACCTGCTGCCACAGGTGTCTCCAGCATCACCTACCAGCATCCACACATAAAGGTGGACAACTGCAACAGGGGAGCCTGTGCCCAGAGACCTGCATGAGCTCCAGCTTATGTGGAGCCTTTGCACATGGAGGTCTATGCATGGATGAGACAGGGCCTATCAGGGCCACCCAATGCCCCATCATCATGTGAAGCACCTTTGCATTGTACACATGAAGAGGGCTTCACATGATGATGGGGCATTGGGCGGCCCTGATTGCCCCTGTCTCATCCATGAATAGACCTCCATGTGCAAAGGCTTAGCTCTAGTGGCAAAGTGAAATTGTACTTTGATAGAGCATCTGCTCTCCCATTCCCTGATTCATATGCCGCCAGCAGTGATGCTCTGCTTTGTGTGAATTCACTATCATGATCAATATCATTTATTAAATTTGTATACTGTCTTTCATCTGCAGATGCCAGGGCAATTCACATCATCATCATCATCATCATCATTATTTATTTATACCCCACCCATCTGGCTGGGTTTCCCCAGCCACTCTGGGCGGCTTCCAACAGAACACTAAAATTCAATAACCTATTAAACATTAAAAGCTTCCCTAAACAGGGCTGCCTTCAGATGTCTTCAAAAAGTCTGGTAGTTGTTATTCTCTTTGACATCTGGTGGGAGGGTGTTCCCCAGGGCAGGTGCCACTACCGAGAAGACCCTCTGCCTGGTTCCCTGTAACTTGGCTTCTCGCAGTGAGGGAACCACCAGAAGGCCCTTGGCGCTGGATCTCAGTGTCCGGGCTGAACGATGGGGGTGGAGACTCTCCTTCAGGTATACAGGACCGAGGCTGTTTAGGGCTTTAAACGTCAGCACCAACACTCTGAATTTTGCTAAAACGTTACTTGATGCAACTGGACCATTTGATGCCCTAGTCACCCACTTTACAACCCTCAAAAAAGGGAGGTGAAATTTAATGAGCGAGGGCTTTCTGCAGTCAGGACACATAAAGAGGAACGCCACTAGAGTGGAACTCACAACCACAATCCGTTCCAGAGGCCCGTCCTTATGGCGAAACAGGTTGCTGGGAGAGGCGCCATTGTGTGCAGGCGTGGGCGGTGATTGCCTGCTTCTGCGCATGCACGAATGGCAATTGCCGCTTCCCCGCAGGCGCGAACAATGATCGCCGCTCCTGCGCATGCATGAACAGCGGCAATCCTGCCAGTTACTTCTGGGTTTGCTGTGGTCGCAACTTGGAACATCCACGAGTGGAGGCGGTTGTAAGTAGTGGTTCTCCTGTACTGGCAGAAACTTGGGCTGACTTCGTAAGACATCCTGGAAGGATACTTGGTTTTGCATTTGCCACTCAGCTCCAGCTTCATCCACAACTTAGACCCTGCTTTACCCACAAATAAGCCCGGAGTCATGACTTTCGCAAAGGGAGCTTTTTTAGAGCAATGTCCCTGGCACATTTGCCACATGTACAAAGTCTAGGAATCTCACTGAACATGGAATAAGCTGCACATCTTGTCTGACCAAAGTTGGATGATTCAGATCTTCTGCTGTTTACCATGCTGTGGGATTAACCACTAATATAAGCTACTCCATTTCAAAGCATAAAGGAGGATTTTGTTGTGCAGAAACTTCCTAGGTTTATTCTTGCATTTCCTGGCTAAACTCCCAACAGTATTTTGGACTTGATGTGACATTTGGTGCTGTAGCTTTGTCTCCTTGCAGCCGTTTATTTTGGGGGGCTCCATTTGGAGGTGAATGAGGTGGCCTCTGATGAAACGAGGTCTCTGGTTTCTCTTCAGCTCTAAATACAAAGGGGTTTTAGCTGCATATCTGGACTTGTAATTTTACTGGCAATGTGCAGTTCTTCTTTACAGTTTCCATTTGGAATGTTCGAAGCATTCTATTATTATTACTATTATTACTATTATTGTATTCACACTCTGTGGATACCACCCAAATGGCCATCCATGGCCCCCACTCCCAAGATCACCTTACACTGATGTCATGCCTTCTACATTGACTATTGTGAGCAGCTGATTAAACAACACATGATGCCCATTTAACATTGCATGCTTAGCCATCACATAGTCCACCAAATATTGCTATCTGATTCTTTAGTACTTTGCTCCATTGTTGAAATATGTGCTAAGGGCAAGACTTCTTATTTGCTCTGCCTACAGTGTTTTTTGGAAGTAGCTACCATAGAGGCGTGAAGATCGTCTTTCTCAAGCCCACACCAGACGATGAAGTATACGCTAAATTTATATCCAAGGAGCTAACCACCCACTATTCTGCATTTATTAGTTTTTGTTGCTTTTTTCATCACTTGTGGCACCACGTTCGCTCAGTATCTTATTTCTCTAATAGGACAAGCATACTACTATGCTTTAATTCTCTGCCTTGGGATTTATATCCTGAGATTTCTTTTTTCCTGCTTTGACAAGGGCCTGTTCATTATTTATATAAACCCAGGTTAAATATTGAGGGAGACTACAAGGTAAGCAAGGGAAATTTAACAACTCCATAGCTAAAACAGTCATTTCGGGTTAAGATTCCTTTAGGTAAAGGTAAAGGGACCCTGACCATTAGGTCCAGTCGTGGCTGACTCCGGGGTTGTGGCGCTCATCTCGCTTTATTGGCCAAGGGAGCCGGCGTACAGCTTCCGGGTCATGTGGCCAGCATGACTAAGCCGCTTCTGGCAAACCAGAGCAGCGCACAGAAACGCCATTTACCTTCCCGCTGGAGCGGTACCTATTTATCTACTTGCACTTTGACGTGCTTTCAAACTGCTAGGCTGGCAGAAGCAGAGACCGAGCAACAGGAGCTCACCCCGTCGTGGGGATTCAAACCGCCAACCTTCTGATTGGCAAGTCCTAGGCTCTGTGGTTTAACCCACAGCGCCACCCGCATCCACACAGAGGCAAACACGCAGGAAACACCCAGTGTGCACTAAATTATTTCATTTGTAAGGGCTGAAATAACTTTTGTTTTCAAGCAGCTCTTCAGTAAAGGCACCCATATCTGTTGCCATCAATTACTAGCATGTTATTTAAATTACATCAAGCAACTCCCTTCCAGTTGTACAGGACATTATTGGGTAAAGAACTTTTTTGAAAATGTATTTTACTTTTTACCCTGTTTTACCCTGTCCCTTTGAGTCAAGTTCAAGGTTCAGCTTTAAAATCTGCCCAGCAAATAAAGGATGGATAGAAATTTGATCCCGTTCGATTTTTAATGCAGACCTGCCTAATTCCCACCTACCAAAACAATATGTAAACTGAAACACAGCTTTCATTCAAAATGCACACCTTTCCAAATTTTGTGATGGTTCTCCAACCAAATAATGCTTTAAAAAGTGTACATTGGTGGAAAGGATGCATAAAAATGTGTATATATTAGTGGAAATAACAGAAAATGCCTTGTACTGGGGGGAAATGCATGCAAAAAAGTGTATATAAAGCAAAATTACACACAAAACATCTAGGATAAATTTGCACCAAAATGCTGGTGAATTTTTATGAGGACTGTTTTCAAAAATTCAGAGTGATGCAGAAATATGGAGAACTGAATTTAAGACTGGGAAAATGGAGAACAAAGAAATGGAATGATGTGCCTATCCTTTCCACCAAAAGCCTAAACAAACATAGATAAACCCTGTCACATGCCATGTTTTACTCTGGACCATGAAGCACTAGAAAAGATTTGGATGAAGGAAAAAACTGGAGGCTTCTTAAACTGCAATAATAATAATAATAATAATAATAATAATAATAATAATAATTATTTATTTATACCCTGCCCATCTGGGCGGCTTCCAACAAAATATTAAAATACAGTAATCCATCAAACATTAAAAGCTTCCCTAAACAGGGCTGCCTTCAGATGTCTTCTAAAAGTCTGGTAGTTGTTGTTCTCTTTGACATCTGGTGGGAGGGCATTCCACAGGGCAGGTGCCACTACCAAGAGGGCCCTCTGCCTGGTTCCCTGTAACTTGGCTTCTCACAGTGAGGGAACTGCCGAAAGGCCCTCGGCGCTGGATCTCAGTGTCTGGGTAGAACGATGGGGGTGGAGACACTCCTCCAGGTATACTGGACCGAGGCTATTTAGGGCTTTAAAGGTCAGCACCAACACTTTGAATTGTGCTTGGAAACATACTGGGAGCCAATGTAGGTCTTTCAAGGCTGGTGTTATGTGGTCTTGGCGGCCGCTCCCAATCACCAGTCTAGTTGTAGTTTCCCGGTCACCTTCAAAGGTAGCCCCACATAGAGCACATTGCAGTAGTCCAAGCGAGAGATAACCAGAGCCTGCACCACTCTGGCGAGACAGTCCGCGGGCAGGCAGGGTCTCAGCCTGCATACCAGATGGAGCTGGTAAACAGCTGCCCTGCGTACAGAATTGACATGTACCTCTATTGACAGCTGTGAGTCCAAAATGACTCCCAGGCTGCGCACCTGGTCCTTCAGGGGCACAGTTACCTCATTCAGGAGCAGGGAGTCCTCCACACCCACTCACCCCCTGTCCCCCAAGAACAGTACTTCTGTCTTGTCAGGACTCAACCTCAATCTGTTAGCCCCCATCCATCCTCCAACCACCTCCAAACACTCACACAGGACCTTCACCTCCTTCACTGGTTCTGATTTGAAAGAGAGATAGAGCTGGGTATCATCCGCATATTGATGAACACCCAGCCCAAACCCCCCTGATGATCTCTCCCAGCAGCTGCATGTAGATGTTGAAAAGCATGGGGGAGAGGACGGAACCCTGAGGCACCCCACAAGTGAGAGCCCAGGGGTCTGAACACTCATCCCTCACCACCACTTTCTGAACACGGCCCAGGAGGAAGGAGTGGAACCACTGTATAACAGTGCCTCCAGTTCCCAGCCCCTCTAGATGGTTCAACTTCCATCCCTTCTTTCCACAGAGCTTTGACAGACAGTTCCCTGCACTAAGTGAGAATGCTGGAGGAAGATCATTAAACTGGCATAAAACCGGATTTATAAGTTTGTCATTGAGACCTGCACACAGTGATCACAGGCTTTGTTAATGGTGCATTCGGGGTTTCAGATTTCTTACATCTGATTTTGGAGTACAGTGGTACCTCGGGTTAAGCACTTAATTCGTTCCGGAGGTCCGTTCTTAACCTGAAACTGTTCTTAACCTGAAGCACCACTTTAGCTAATGGGGCCTCCTGCTACTGCCGTGCCGCCAGAGCATGATTTCTGTTCTCATCCTGAAGCAAAGTTCTTAAC